CAGGCACTGGGTTCCCTTTTCGTCGCCTCCTACGACTCTCAGGGCTACGGTCGAGGTATTCGACCCCGCCTCCACATGGGTCTAACCAAGTGGCCTTATGGCTCTCGCTGAACAGTCTTGGTACGAATGGCATTGAAAAAACTGCTCCCAATGGTTCTTCTATTATTGTCACGGGCCGTTGGCGGTCCCGTTTGTTTTCATTGCATAGTCGCGGGTTGGAGCCGGTCACAGTAGCCGCGCGGTCTAAGGCATAAACTGCCTTCGCTCGCTCGGACGCTGGGATCGTGGGTTCGAATCCAACTTAAGGCATGAATGTTTGATGTGTGTATGTGTTTATTCTGTGTTTATCTTGTCCTGTGTTTAGGTAAAGGCCTTGCGACGCGCTGATCACTCGTCAAAGGAGTCACCCCGTTTGTGAAAAATGATTACGGAACTGAATAAGAGGCCAGGGCTCTGAATGGGCTGGAAGAGCGATTGAAAAAAGTTTCGGGTTGGAAAAGTTAGGACTTCCCGTTTAACCTTCGGCGTATATTGGTTTGACTTAAGCATTAAATCTGCTAATAATGGGAAAATCGAGGCACTTTCAAAATACAGAATTTTTAAATGTTTAATTGGTAACGTTAGTAGCGTCGTTTTATTTTGATAGTTCGGCCTCGATTGTGCATCTCTTTACTGAGACGGATTTTGAAACATCCGTCATGAATAGCGGCTTTGAAAGCGACTTCCGTATTATAATGATCGGGGACACAAGGGAAGCTTTCCATTTTAACGGCAGGGAATGGGACAGGCTGAAGAGCGATTACAGGGTGACGGTGGAAGTGAGAGAATTGCACGTATTGCGGAAATGAAAAGCATCAATTCAATGGCACCTAATTAAAAATGTATTAAAATTTTCGTTCACGTCACTGGGCTGTTTTATATACCGGATTTATCGTCAGGACCCTGTGAACTAAAGAGCCCAGTGGGCTCTCCAAATTAAGTGTACTGTTTCACTGCTGCTTCTCTGTCACCTCGTGTTCCTGTCACACCAGACACGCTCCCGCATGCGTCTGCACGTCGCGAGTACATGAACATCGCTTCCGCATCTTTGCTTGACAAGGATAACGTTTGTAGACGACGGGACAAATAGGAATAAGACATGACAGAAGTAACACATAAATAAGTAAAGCTATCCCTGTAACAGGCCGTGAAGGCCCATAGGGTTGTGAGACGTTAAGGGTCCCACATTACCTTGACAATCGGCTCAAAGATGGCGGTAAGGTAGAAGTAACACGAGTATGGAGAAAATCACGTAACTCAGAGCCGGAGAGTAAGCAAAGCAAGAAGCGACTTCGATCCCAAAATGGAGGCGACACGTTGATCCGAAATGTTGGTGAGCTCCTACCAAACTATACGGCGTTGAAGCCCAGAATATACTTGGAGCTTTAAGTTCTATCAATCACAACTAACCAGAGAACTAACTTGACGGTTTATCTAGCCGGTATTTCGAAACCAATCGCCAAGAACATAGTAACTAACATGAGACTGTACCATTCTGTCTGTATTGGAGCGGTCCGGACAGCCGGGAACACTCCACAGCTGGTATTGCAGAATTCAATTTAGCTCGATACATATATGTGTACTTAGTGAAACCCAAGTCATTCTTTCGTGTTCCACCTCGCCAAACTCACCCACCCCGACCAGGTCACATATGGATCACATCTGTGTCGGTCCCTTACAGGTGAAATGGGAAGCCATCCACGTTCTCAGGAGTGTACACAAAAGCTTAACTGTTTTAGTTAGTAAAATCCCCAGTAGCAACCAGCTTCAAGGGGCAAACATACATTATTAAAGAAATATTTTACGTAAGTTGTTGTTACAACAGAGATATTGATAGGACTATTGAGAGGTGTAGATGTTGAAATAAATTACTAAAACTTATTTATGGAGCTGAGCCCTTCTTGAGGAGAAGCCAAATCTGCAGCTACTCAAGAATTTCGCAGCATTTTATGGAATCCGAAGGTTCATTACCGTGTTCACAAGATCCCTCCACTCGTCCCTATCCTGAGCCAGATCTATCCAATCCACACCATCCCATCCTATCCCTCTAAGATCCATTTTAATATTGTCCACCCACCTACGCCTTGGTCTTCCCAGTGGTCTCTTTCCTTCTGGCTTTCCCACCAATATCCTATATTAATTCTTCTTCCACCCATTCGTGCTACATGACCTGCCCACCTCATCCTCCTTAACTTGATCGTTCTAATTATACTTGGAGAAGCGTACAAATTATGAAGCTCCTCATTATGCAGTTTTCTCCAACCTCCTGTCAGTTCGTCTCTCTTCGGTCCAAATATTCTCCTCAGCATCCTGTTCTCAAACACCCTCAGTCTATGTTCCTCCTTTAATGTCAGAGACCAAGTTTCACACCCATACAGAACCACTGGCAAAATTTTAGTTTTGTATATTCTAATTTTTATGTTTTTGGACAGCAGACGAGAAGACAAAAGGTTCTGGACTGAATGGTAGCAAGCATTACCCGAGTTCAATCTCCGGGTAATTTTTGTTACCTGAAAATTACTAAAAAGCAATTAAAATTAATTAAAATAGTCATCTATACTTTCTGCATCCTGTTGTGGTTGTATTTAAAGTATTTCGGTGGCCGTCAACACAACTAAAAAAGAAAACTCATATTAAAAGTGTTTATGTTCTGTCTGGTATACTAGTATATACCCACTACAAGTTTCGATCTAAAAAGTGATCATGAGGTGGTACTAATAAATGTACTCGTATGCTTCTATACCCGTCGCCATTAAACTACCTATCTAAAATGTATCCAGTTTTTGTTCGAGACTTGTTCTACTGAAACATATGTTCTTCAGTTTTGTATTCATGAATTTTTATGCTATGTGCATGATTTACAATTATTATGCTCTTTTTTTGCGTACCACTGTCCACATTATGTTTAAGATAATTTTGTTGCTGTCAACGCGAGCATACACTTCATTAGAACATGTCTCGAGCAAAACATGGATCTCCTTCAGATAGACAATGAAGTAATGACGGGGTTATTAGAGTACCACCTAATAATAATCTTTTTGATCGAAATATGTATTTGGTACGTACAATAAAACAGAATACCAGTAATTTTAATGTCACTTATTTTTTTAGTTGTGTTAACGGCCACTGAAATACATTAAATAAAGTAGCCTGTTTTGTTGCTAAGCGAAGGGTTTAGTGACGAAATTGCAATGGTTCCTACAACTGACAGCGTAGAATTTCATTCAGTCTTACATTTTAGGCCGTTGTCCGTCTGTGACTATGATAAAGGCTCTTCTATTTAATCTCCATATTAGCTATACATTGCAGCATCATGTAGGCATGGTGGCACTGCGCGCTTTGCAGTGGCGTGCGTGCAATCTTGCTTCTTTGTGTTAATACACAGTAACGTAAAGGCCACGATGTCTTACGCAAAGCTCTAAGTTTGCATTATCTAGTAACGGCCGAACACTGGGATCATGGGTTCGAATCACACTGGTGACATAGAAGTACTTCTGAGTTCTATCTCCGTTTGTGTTGTCCTGTGTACTTAGGGGCAATTTTATGGGCCGATCCCCTATCCACGAAGTACTATAAATGTCGATAAACACAACGAAACCTAAATGTTGGGCCGGATTTGTCTGTTGTGGCCTAGAGAAAGAAGCACACAAGTACCTGTGCCAAGCAGATAAATGTTAACGGATAGAAAAGTTCGGAAATACGTATATTGCAGAGTTCCACAACGCTGACGGACACAGTGCCTGTGGACACTATGATGGGTTTGCTCCGTGCGGTAATGACATTGCAGCCCCACTGCAGGGCACCACCCACAAGGAGAATGGCCGAAAAAGACCTACATCATACTAGAGCCCACTTCACATAGAAATGATTGAAGTTAAGGCCTTCAGAACATTTATTAGAATCTACTCCCTATTCAAAAGTGAGCGTTTAAACGCAAACAGTAAACTATCCCTCCATAAGGCACTGATCAGATCAGTAATGACTTACGCTTGTTCCGCCTGGGAATTAGCGGCAGACACCCACCTCTTAAAATTGCAGCGCCTGTAGAACAAGGTTTTGCGCACCATCCGAAATTTTTCAAGGTGCACACCAGTCCGCACCCTGCACACAGCTTTCAACTTTCCATATGCATACGATTATATAACAAAATTGTGCAGGCAACAAGCAGAAGTCATACAAAATCATGACAATGAACATGTTCGTGGTATAGAACAAAGTGAAGCCAGACACAGAAAATATAAGAGGCTTAAACTTGGCGGTGGTCAAGCTTATGACCGTTCAAAGTTTTAGTTGTAGCATAAGATCTGGAAGTTAGGAATGATCTGCTCTGTAAAGCCTGTACTGACAGAGGACTTGTGTGTAAAGCAAAAGGAAGGGTTTTCGATAATATATTACGTATATGTGCGAAATATACTCTTGACGAAAGGTCGAATGTATTCATACGAGACAGACCCATCTTCTCGTCAGAGAGGATGTTACATAAGGATTATTACCGCAAGAGTTCAGTTAAAAAAAAAAAGATCTCTGGTCGTGGGCCTCAAGGGGCCTGACGTCAAGACGAACTGGTTGGCGGTAAACCGCCAGTCGTAAAGTGACTCTGACTCTGACTCTGCTAGACACGTACGAACGAGACAGTTGGAATCGAGCCACGGCCAAGGACAGTTGAGATGTCGCATTGAAGTGGAGGCAGTAGTTGTGATGCTGCAAGTGATAGTAAGCGTGAAGTGTGTGAGTGTAGAGGCGAAGCACTATCCTTAACGGTGTGAAGTTATTTGTCGCGTGATATACCCAACACGTGACAATATGTTTGAACTTCCCACCGACATATAAATACCGGAAGCTTGCTGAGAACATAATCTAAAGGCCTGCGACAGTAACAGACAATTTCACACCCTCGGACCCACAGTAGATGGAGTACAGAATTCCAGTTGTGGTTACGTTCAAGTGCTCAGTACACTTACCCAGGAGCAGCAGCGTTAGGTCGGACACTGCGAGGCTGAAGAGATAGTAGTTGGTGGCCGTCCGCATGGATTTGTTGCGTGCGATCACCACGCAAACCGCCACATTGCCGACAACACCTGAGACAAAGATGGTGACGTAGATAATGGTAATTGGAAGAACCACCGCCAGTGGTAGATGCTTAGGGCCCAGCATCCTAACCAGATATTCCTCTACAGATTCATTCACAAAACCGACATATGTATCGTCATTTGCACCGAAACTCGAGGAGTTCGAACGAGATAGCTTCAAGTTATCCATACCGCACAGGATCTGAATAATCGACAGCACTAAGTGGTACTCACAACCCTAACACTGTCGTGGGACTCTTACGGTACAGCACGTAACTTCATTCTGAAATAACGTTAGCCATATTAAAATAGCATATACAATTCCGAACGACTGCGTCAAAATTACACGAGTGTCATCAGTGGAAGTGTAGGAGCACAGAAGCGCGACAAGAAAGCTCTATTGCTTGTCACTTCATTTCCAAACTGCGTCGCGACACATTTCCTCTTGCATTTCACCCACAATCATATTATCTTCCGCCATTCTCTGCTCTCGGAGATGTACCAGGCGCAAAATATCTGGAACAGAGAACAGGTGATAACAAAAAGTGCTGGCACCCCTCACATCTAAGTCCCTGTCTCTAACTAACGTACACAGAGTCTTCTAGAAGCAAACTTACTCATTATGCGTCAGCCCGACTTGAAGGAGCAGCATCCGTTTCTTCTACCTGAGTCTCCATGACTATTATTGGTATAGGATTGTCTTGTTGCTGGGGTGTGGAGAGATCTTTCTTAATGAGAAACTTTATAATCTGTAGTCTTCAACAGAACTTATTTCGCTAGTGATAGGCTGGACGATGGGACATATAGCGGGCACGAAGGGGGCAATAGATGCGTGCAATATTTTGATCATAAAATTTGAAGTAAAGATATTACTTTGTTTTCGTAGTAGTAGATGTAAGGATGAAATTAAAATTAAAGGATTGAACTGGTTCAAATATAATTCAGTGGTTGTTTCTTTCACAACAATTAGGAATATTCGGGTTCTACAGACGGCGGAGAATTGTTCTGAAAAGTTGAGTACAGTGAGCTGTGCTAGCAAGATATCTGTAACAGACTGACTGACGCCATAGTGCAGGCTCCTTCTTGAGAAGATGATAATTCCTCAACTTTTCAGAACAATTCTCCGCCGTCTGTAGAACCCGAATATTCCTAATTGTTGTGAAAGAAACAACCACTGAATTATATTTGAACCAGTTCAATCCTTTAATTTTAATTTCATCCTTACATCTACTACTACGAAAACAAAGTAATATCTTTACTTCAAATTTTATGATCAAAATATTGCACGCATCTATTGCCTCCTTCGTGCCCGCTATATGTCCCATCGTCCAGCCTATCACTAGAGAAATAAGTTCTGTTGAAGACTACAAATTATAAAGCTTCTCATTAAGAAAGGTCTCTCCACACCCCAGCCTATACCAATAATAGTCATGGAGAAGACCTACTAGAATTCACTTCAAAATCCGCATAGCCCTTATATACTGCACATGCCTATGTTTCGAGCCGGAAAACCGAGGCACTATATTCCTCTGAAACGTCGCCAAATTTCCTGCGTACAGTATTCTTCAAATGCAGATGGGCTTCCAGAAACTCTACTGATTACTATCTGTAGCGGACAATGTTCAGACCATTTTTGTGAGAGAGACATTCATGCGGTATTATTGCTAGTGGGGCAACTGGCAAGAACAGGACCTGAACAGCCGTTCATGGAACCTGAACCAGCTTGCAGCATCTCAGAAGAAGAGTATTGCAGGGAATGAAACCGCAGACCAGCTGGCAAGAACAGGATCTGAACAGCCGTTCCTGGGACCTAAACCAGCTTGCGGCATCTCAATTGGAGCTGCCAAGAAAGCGATCAGGGACTGGACTGATAGAAATCACACAAAAAAAAAAACTGGGATTCCAGAACTGGATTCAAACAGGCAAAAGGAATTACATCAAGACCCTTTGCCAAAAGAACGAGGGACCTGTTAAATTAAACAGAGATCAACTGAGATGGGTGGTAGGTTTACTTACTGGACACTGCCACCTAAAGGGACACCTTTTCAAACTGGGACTGACAGGCGACCCAACCTGTGAAAGGTGCCTACAAAAAGAGGAATCAGCCACACACATCCTATGTGATTGTGAGGCCATAGCTTATTTAAGATATCGCCACCTGGGTCAGTTCTTCATGGAACCAAGTGACTTTTATGACGCCCCCATAAATAAAGTCCTACATTTCATTCGAAGTGTAGGGTTAATAAAGGGTTAATCCAAAGGGGAAGCACAATAGATCATTGAAGGTCGCAGTGGGAGGGCCAATTTTATGGCTCACCCCTCATACTCATACTCACACTCATAGTCGGTGGCTTCCCACCGCGTCGGCCCCGGTTCGATCCCAGGTCGAGTCATATGGCACCTTTTGTTCAATAAAGTGGCATTAGGGGAGGCTCCCTCCGAGTACTTCTGTTTCCCCTGCCAATTTTCATTCTGCCAAACACTTCATCTCTCTCTCTCATCCGGCGCTGGTACAATAGACCAATTAGTGACCGGTGTGCAAAGCGAACTCACTCAGTTTCACTATGCCCACTAAACTAAACTAAACTTAAAAAAAAAAAAACGAAAATAGAAGAAATGTAAAGAAAGAAAGAACTGAAAATAAACCAGAATTTTTGGGTAAGTGACCATACTGTTACAGCAAGAAGAGCTGAACCTGCGGACCAGTATATTCTCCAAGCAGGCCACCAATATCGCGCGCTCAAGTGGAACAATCTCGCGTCTGTAGGGTTGCAGAGGCACACACTGGCACGGTACGCAAACATGGCGCAATCCGTCATGTTTCCAGAACTGAATGTGCAGATGTTGCCCTATACTGGCAGCTCAAACGGAAACAATCCCGAAATCCCCCTTCCTTTACGGAATCAAATATTATTACCATGTTCACAACAGCCCGCCACTGACCTTATCCTGAGAAACGCCACACTGTATTTCCTTAAGATCCATTTTAATATTATCGTCCCCCGGAAGATTTCTCTTATCTTTAGATTCTCGGATTATTCCCTGACGTTCAGAAACAAGGGCTAGAGTCGACTGCCAGAAACTGACTTCACGCGCTTCTAAGGTTGCTGTAGGCTGTACAGGTGCTGTAGATGTATACTTAGCCTGATAAGAATCTGTGTTCCTTGCTATAATTATTTACCATAATTCTGTCATGGCAAGGGCATGTATTAATTTTGTTTAATTGGTAAACATAATAAAAAACAGAACCAATCTGCTACGCTACCATCGCTGTACCAAGCCTTGCATTCTGTTTTGAATGATTATTAACAGCTTGCTGCCTGCTAACTGACATCTCAATTCTGATTTGTCGCGGGGACAACGGAAATTCCCCAAATTTGTGCCACATTGATAGCAAAAAAAAATCCATCTCCTTACCAGCAATACAATCAGGCCATTTGTAAAAGAGTTCTGGCTTCTGGGACGTAAAGCCGTGAAATCCAGTAAAAGACCAGGCGCGAAGTGGAGGAACCTTCTGCCTTTCCTATGCAGAGCAGTCGTGAAGGGATTTATTTACATGCTTGGAAATTTTCGTGGCATTTAACGAAAATAATACCTGATCCTAGCCCTTTTGAGGTTGAAAGTGCTATTGTAAAATTGAAAAGGTATAAATTGCCAGGTAGTGATCAAAATCCGGCAGAACTTATTCAAGCATGAGGTGAAATATTACGTTCTAAGATCCACAAGCTGCCGGTCACGGTAGCCGAGAGGTCTAAGGCATGTACTGTCTTCGGAAACCGAGATCGTGGGTTCGAATCCCACTCAGGGCATGAATATTTGTGTGCGTTTTTCTGTGTTTGTCTACAGGTAGAAGCCTTGCGACGAGCTGATCACTCGCCCAAAGAGTCCTACCGTATGTGTAAGCTCTAGTAAACCGAAGTGAAACGGAGAGTTTCATGGAGGTAGGACTAGGCCCAAATTGGGGCTGTAGCGCCAAAAGCTAATTAATTCTATTTGGCATAAGGAAAAATTGACTGATCAGTGGAAGGAGTCTATTATTGTACCAATTCACAAGAAGGATGATAAAACAGACTATAGTAATTATCGCGGGATATCAGTGCTATCAACTTCATATAAAATTTTGTCCAATATTCTTCTTTCAAGGTTAAGTCCACATATAGATTAAATTATTGAGGATCATCAGTGTGGGTTTCGACGTAACAGATAAACTACAGATCAGATCTTGGAGAAAAAATGGGAGTACGATGAGACAATACATCAGCTATTCATAGACTTCAAGAAAGCCTATGATTCAGTTAGGAGGGAAGTATTGTACAATATTCTGATAGAGTTTGGAATGCCCATGANATTAAAATGTGTTTAAACGAAACATATAGTAAAGTCCGTGTAGGTAAACAGTTGTCTGATAAATTTCCTATCCAGAATGGTCTAAAACAAGGAGATGCTTTATCGCCACTCCTTTTCAACTTTGCCTTAGAATATGCCATTAGGAATGTCCTGGGACACCAAGA